ATTTGATTTCTGCATGCAAAGCATGGGCTCTGCCACTGAGCTACAACTATTCCGCTCTAAGGGTTCTCTCTTTACTCCAAACACACCCTTTCACACAATCTTGCACAGCATCTGTGGTGCATTCATGGAGAGTTTGCAAACGCGCCATCTTTTATGTACCCATCAATGACAATTAACAAGGATTCCACAGACCCAAATGGGTCCACATCCAGTTATGCACATGAAAGTTAACAACACCAGTTCAATGTAAATAAGCATATAGGATTGCTTTCCTGATCAGAACTTCATTCTGAAAGCTTTAAAAGGTGAAAAATTGAATAGCTTTTCTTCTGCTTAATCAAGCAGCATCCATAATTATTAATAATTATCAATGGGCTTGATTAACATTTCTGCAGAAAGCTTGAGATTATTTTAATCTGCCACTTTAGGTATCACTAATGTAAATCTGCTAAGTGTTCATCTCTGTTAAACCCTACATATTTATATATCTATGCAATAATATTTTCAATTTTGCTAGCCAATGGGCAGGTAGCACTTTTTGTGGCTTTGTCGTTGAAAAGCATTACTTCTCCCATAACAACACTCCAAATGTCTTGTCTCCTCCCAAAAATTAGATCAGTTCCCTACTGATCTAAAAAAAAGGGTCAGTGTTTTATCATAAAATATCCATACTTAAATTACTGATATCTGAATAGCTTTAATGTTGTTAGGGCACAACAGAAATTTTAGTTGTAATACAGTGGTGCCCCGCAAGACGAATGCCTCGCAAGACGAAAAACTCGCTAGACGAAAGGGTTTTACGTTTTTTGAGTCGTTCCGCAAGATGAATTTCCCTATGGGCTTGCTTCGCAAGACGAAACGTCTTGCAAGTTCTTGCGAGTTTGTTTCCTTTTTCTTAAAGCCGCTAAGCCGTTAATAGCCGCTAAGCCGCTAATAGCCGCTAAGCGCTAATAGCCGTGCTTCGCAAGACGAAAAAACCGCAAGACGAAGAGACTCGTGGAACGGATTAATTTTGTCTTGCGAGGCACCACTGTATGTTTATTTAGTAACATCTAAACACGAAGTAAACCATGCAGATCTGCAAATTATCTTGCTCTGAGCATTGATACAAGAGACAGCAAGCAAGAGACTACCCAAGTTTAATCTCTTTACTGAGGCCCACCAATCACAAAATTGTGGTGAAGGCTAAACTAGTCATAAAATGGTGGGCAGATGGAGGTAGAGCTTGGCACAATCAGCTGCAAATACTGACATCAGTTTCTATGACTATCTTAATCCATATTTGGAAATTCCTAAATTCTTTGCCGTAGCATTTCTCTTGTGCCCAGGAGTTCCATAGCTCATATAATTAATGAGTGGCAGAGTGTTGCATTAACTGGAATAGGAAATGGAGGAGATTTGACTTATGCATCCTCAAAGAGTTCCCAGGCCAGTATATAAGAGGCTGGGGCACTCTCTTTTCCATTTCAGTCAAACAGCTTCCCCAACTAGTACCTTCTAGATGTTTTGGACTACATCTCTCATCATCCTTGCCCACTGGCCCTGCTGGCTGGAACTGAGGGAGAGCTGAGAGTCCAACTCTGAAGGTAAAGGCTGCAACAGAGAGTGTCAGTACTGCAAAGGCATTCTAGCCTAATTTCTTAGACTCTGCCAGTTAACCTCTGCAGGCGAAATGGAAGCCCAAGAGATGATCGCAGACGAACTCAAAATGGAAGAGGGCCAAAACGGAGAGCTCTATCTGTGGCAGCTACAATCAATGACAATACATAACCAAAGGCACAAGGAACTATGGATCTGGAGTAATTAGATAGAGATAATTCCCAAAGAACTGATGGGAGTTCACTAAGCCTGGATTTAAAAGAGTAAGGAATGAACAGCAGAAGGGGGAAAATAATGTCAAGTAAAATCAATGGAATTATCCATTAGGGCAATGAAGATGGACACTTGATTAAGAAAGCATGGAGAATTCTATGCTGACATACCCAAGCCTGAGCACTAGGCATTACAGACAAGGTTTTTTTAAAAAAAAGTAATCAAAAACATCTTCTGCACCTCAGTAGCTGGTGTCAAAACTTTAATGGAAAAATGTAATTTTTGGATACTAGAGAGTAATAGGATTCATGTAGATTTTGAGGGCAAGGATGCATCTCTGCTGCTCAAATTGTCTGATATCATCAGCTCTTTTAAAAAACCTGTCACTTCTACACATTTCTAAAGCCAAAATGGGCTATTTTTCTGCCATTACATTTTTTTGTGCTGTGCTGCATATCTCTTACATTGCATTTGTAGCGTGAGAGCAGTCTACATAGGACAATAACTTGACATTTGCAGAAATTGCCTTTCATTCACTCGACTCTGCCATTTAAGTGCTTCTGAGCAAGTAAATAACTGAAATTGTGTTAATGACTTATTTCAATAGCAATGATTCCAAGTAATTGCATGAGTTTTAGCTACAGAAAACTGCCATGTTACTCATTTTACAATGTTAGCAAAATGCTAATATGAAAACACACACACACACACACACACACACACACACACAAACAATTGTCAAGCTTACTGTGGAAAAACTGCTCTGCAGCAAAGCAAAAACTGTTCATGAAATCATGCTTCTAAAATTTATATACTAGAACAATATTCTTTCCCAAAGCTTAAGCAAGATTAATCCCAGAATAGCCTGTTTACACTGCCTCTTAAAATACAAGAAATCTTATTTGTTTTTATTAAAACACACACACTTTGTGTTTGTGTTCCTAACAAACCATCAACAGTTGATGTATGCTGCAAACTCTTCAACTGATGCCAGAGTAATTCCAGGCAGTAAATTGTAAATAGTATAATAAAAAAGACAAGGGGAAACCAGATATTTGACTATCAGGAAAAGCTAAAATCTATAAAGTGTAAACACACTGCAATCATGATTTACAAAGTTTTAACAACAGAGAAGTGACCTTTGTTCTGGATTGTCTTCTTGTCTTCCTTCACCCACTCTCTTTCCGAAGCAATATTCTGTTCTGCAAAATTCAGTGCATATACAACCAAGCAGCCAGGGGTAACCCATCCAAAAGTGTTCCACAACTCATAATCTGGAGGTCATTCAGCTGGGGAATTTAGGCTTGACATGTCATTGACACAACAGCATCCCTTTCCTCATTGGGAGAGGCAACTGCGTTAGCAGAAAAGGAAGACTGGACACTGGAAATGTTCCATGAGTAACTGCATTTTTTAAAAAAGGCCAAGAAACTCACAACATTACATAAGATATTCAGATAAGAACCAAGAAAGCTATCTAAACCCAAAGTATGCAAACAGCAAGTTGCTGAAGCAGTCAAGCAACAAGATTTCCTTCTCTGCAAGGATCAATCTGATCACACACACACACACAAAATACACACACACAAAAAGGCATCAGCTACTAGCATCCATGCACAACGCTGATAATTGCTGTCTGCCTGGAAGCAAAGTTGGCTGCCTCTGCTACCAGAATCTACAGTCAGAAATGTCAGTGGGCACAAACACTTCCACATATTCATATCAGCTTCTTATGTAAAACTACTTGAAAACGGACGCCTGACTTGTATGACGAAAAGGTGCCATCAAGGTCAAAAGCATATTCTGGTTGTTGTTACTACAAGACAGACAGGACTGTTCTAAACAATGCAGCTACGATACCAACACCATTTCCAATATTATAGCTGCATTCAGACCAGCAGAACTTCTGCTATTAATAGTGACACAAGAGTCCTTTTCATACATGCTACGCACAAGCAAGATAAACACATAAAAAGGGATCAGTCACACTGAGCAGCCCCACCATCAACACTGTGTGTGGGAAGCATTGGAAACTCTTCTATTAGGACAGACCTTTCCAAACTTTCCATGTTAGTGACACACTTTTTAGACATGCATCATTTTGCGACACAGTAATTCAGTTTTACTAGCAAACCAGAGGTTAAACTAGCCCCTTTCCAGCCCCAGGAAGAACACTGGGAGCGTTCACGCAACACACCTACACACCACAGCTGACCCAATAACATGTCGCAACACAGTTTTGACAGCTCTGTATTAGGGTTACCAGAGCATAGCTCTCCCAATAAGAATGCCAAGATAAAAAACAACACCCCACCCCAATCTCAAAGCCACACACACCTGCCTGTCCCACACACATTATTTACCTCAGGGAATTTACAGAGGCTTGCAGAGACATTTCTGTCAATCGCCTGCTCTCTAGTCAATCAGGTGTCTGCACCATTCTGTCAATCCTAATCCAAACACACACCTATTGCAAAAATGCTCCTCCCATGTGTCACTGAGCAGAAAAACAATGTGATTGACATTTCAGTATTAGGATTTACCGCTTTTCAGCCCCCATTGTGAAGGTTCCCCCTCCCACACAGGGGAGCAGAGAAAGTCGCAGGGTTTGTAGTGAGCCAGAATGGGCTGTTCCAGTCCCTGACCATGTTCATTGCAGCCTGTTTCACCATCAGCCTGACAGACTGAATATCCTAGTTGTATCCAAGATTCTTTTTTAGGCTGAGCTTTTTTCTGGATTCCATATCTTATTTATCAGTATTACATGACCCCTTTCCTCTAAGGAGCTCCAAGTGGCATTCATGGGTCTCCTTTCCCCCATGTTATCCTCACAACAACCTTTTGAGGTAGGTTAAGCTGAGAAACAGTACTTGCCCAAGGTCAAACAGTGAGTTTCATTGCTGATTTTAACCCTGATCTTCCAGGTCCTAGTCTACTTAATGCCCCTACATTTTGTTCCATATTCCGGTAAAAAGAAGCGGAAGTCAATAAGCTGGGAGAGGGGAATAATCATTTCCCACATCATCCCGATTCTGTAGAGCAGGACATTTCGCATAGTGAACCAATGCCTTTTTATTTACAAAAGCCTTCCTAGAGTAAGGACATGTGCCCTGTATTTTACTTATCACTGTGGCACTGTAAAACTGTATTTTATCCTATTCCTGTTAGGTGTTTACATTGTATTTTTTAAATTCTTGTGCACTGCTTTGGAGTTGTTATTTTTTCAATGTTATGAGTTTTATAACAACTCATAAATATATAAAAAGTGAAAGCAGTATAAAACTTCCCCTTTTCTGATCCAGACAGAGAAATGTCCTATGCTGTTTCCCCTTCTCAGTCATTGCCCACAACGTATTTATTATCGAAGATTTCTCCTTTCTCAAAATTGCACCACTGAGCTGATTCATCACAGACACCTTCTAGTTTTGTCCTCTACTTACATTAGCCCCTTCCACTTCTCCATCATGAAGAACTCCCAGGGAAGCTCTGCAGGTAAAGGATTCCACCACTCACTCTGCCTACCTTAGATTTGAAGTATGCGACAAGTGAGATTGAAGCAACTGTGAGAAATCATCAGGAATAAGGAGTTCTAATCGTGTCATCCCATGAGAATTCCCTTCTTAAATATCAATCCTCTGCAAATCTCCCATTTCTCCAACAGCCATAGAGCCATAGCACAACACTTATCACTGGAGATGGAGAACTGGAGGGTAAACAAATATGACAAGAGCCAGATGAAGGTGAAAGGTATAGTAAGGTGTTCAGCATCAAATTACAGATGTGATTTTATGATGAGCTTGTTTGGTATCTGGCAGCGATAACACTAGACAGGATGGAAGGCTGGTTGAAATGATAACCCAAATATTGGTGGCTGAAGGATGGTCCAAAAGAGGCCAGCGCCCCAAGTCTCTCCTTGCTAGGTTTGCCCATCCTTAATGCCACAACATAGCTCATATCCACGCTCATCCTTCAAGGTAAGTCAAAAATACAAATGCTTTGGCTGAAAAGTACCAACACAATATGAAAATGCTTCTGAAAAGGTATAAACATAAAAAATTAACGGTTAGCACAGACACACTTTACAGAAAGGTAGCAACATATTGAACACATGCTAACATTCTCAAAGAGTGGACTTTCTTTCAGATTTTTGCACACTGGGAGTGGAGGTCTGCAGGAGGCTTCGATGTTTGTTTGGCTGAATGTGTTTCAGAGCCCTCAAGGGATAGGGAAACCTGCTTCAACACGATTCATGACAGCACAGTGGCTTCTAAGCACCTTCACACTCAACACATGAAATTATGAGAGGAGCCAGTGTGTGAAGGGGACACTGGGGTGGGGCTTGTGTGCATGGCTCCACCACTCTACCGACTTTTAACCCTTGCATATTCAGGCAAGTGAAATTTATACATCAATTTACTCTCTAGTACGCATATCTAACGTATTTGAATTTCACACATCTTTAATTATCTGTTGCTTCCTAATACAGTGGTACCTCGGGTTACATACGCTTCAGCTTACATACGCTTCAGCTTACAGACTCCGCTAACCCAGAAATAGTGCTTCAGGTTAAGAACTTTGCTTCAGGATGAGAACAGAAATCATGCTCCGGCGGCATGGCAGCAGCGGGAGGCCCCATTAGCTAAAGTTGTGCTTCAGGTTAAGAACAGTTTCAGGTTAAGTACAGACCTCCGGAACGAATTAAGTACTTAACCCGAGGTACCACTGTACGTTAGGTATCAAGATCTGCCACCACCAGCGAGTAACCATTTTCTCATTCGTAATCATAATCAAAAATGTAAACTTTATATGCTTTGCTACTGAAAAGACTTTGGTAAGAATTCTTATGTTCTGTACATCTTGAGTTGTATTTATTTTTAGAAAAGCATATAATGGCACAATAATGCTACTATTAAAAACTATGTTTTGCCTGTGTGCCAACGCAGTAGCATTGTAAGAGCAAGCTCCCCACCATATCAAGTTTCCAGAATAAATTTTTGACAATGAAAATACAGCTCTGACTCCTGCATTCTAAACCACCCACCCCCAACTGTTATCACACAATATCCCAGCTCAATTGTATAAAAGCAATACGAAAGTAGATGAATATATCTTCATTTTTAATTCACAGCACAATCTACAACCCACCTCTGTATTTCTGATTATTTCATTTCACACTGGTATCAGAAGTTGATCCACTGGACGCTGCCTCTGATCTAGAAATGTGTACAGGTGTGTGCGCACCCACTCAGTGGGCCTGTTCAATTTCATGCTGCATCAGCCACTGCAAACGATACTCAAAAGTCTCTGGTCGCTATGCATAAAAATTCCTTCCCAAATGAGTCTTGCAGCTGCCATCCAACATTCAGTAGGACAGAAAAAACCCAAACTTATACCTAATTGCCATTATTTTCCTCACTACAGTTAAATAGTCAGGGACCACCACAGTAAGCAATTATTGCCAATAAAGCAGGGTTGCTGCCTTGCAGGCGCTAATCTGTTGCCTTCGAGATGAAGTTTGACCAATGGTAACAGATGATGGGAGCTGCAGTCCTGCTATAAAGGTTCAGACTGACAGTTCATTCATGCGGCAAAAGCTCTGGTAGAGCAGCGGGCACAAGTCATGTGCATTTCTGCCTATGTTTATGCCACGCCTGTCAACTGGGTCCAAGCAAAACTGGTCAGGATACCAAGCAGCCATTGCCAAATTTACATGCAAGTACAGTTTGAGCTGATCGAGCTATCTAAGAAGCCTATGCCTAAGGGGAAGTCTACCTGGATATCCCTTGCTGACATTACTTATTGGTTTGTTTTCATTAATAGAAGTCTTCAGCAGGACTGCCAGATTGTTGGCAGTAAGTATTGAAATTAATGCACCAGAATAAAATGGGGTGAATTTAAAAGCCCTCTCCTCTCACATCCACAGCAGCATGAAGCCACTTGGCGCTATTTTTTGCCACTGGGGATTGTATGTGTAGAAAGTCTTTACGTGAATGGGACAGATCACACGGCTTTTTCCCACACAGCTATCCCTTCTGGCCCAGTGGTGATCAGGTGGGAAAGACCAACACATAAGACCTGCAGGTATAGGGTGGTATAGAAATTTAATAAATAATCATAATAATAATTTGCAAGACTCATGTGCCTTCTCCATTCACAGAAGTATCATGACCACACCAAAGGAAACAGACCTACTGCAGCTACTGAGAACTGCCCTGAGACCTCCGGGTATAGGGCGGTATATAAATTCAATAAAGTAATAATAAAGGACATTCAGTGTGTGGTTTTCTTGGTAAAAAGGAGAAATATTCTATCTAATTTGAAGTATACTTGGAAGATAACTCCTGGTACTTTACTGCTGCATATCCAAATTCTGAAGACAAGAATTAAGTAAGTTGGGGTCTAGTTCTGCACAGCTTGAAAATCCTTAATTCAGAGGACATGTGGTCCGTAGACAGGATAATGGAAAGGATGCCAGACAAGTCGTGTTTCAAGCATTGGCCTTGTATTTCAGGTAGATGCAGGATAAAAGTTATGAGAGGACATATTAAAGGAGGCCATTTCTCCACAACACCTAGCTATACCCCACTTCCTTCCACAACATGTCCATTCAAACACAAAATTCTAGAATTCTATATTTGAAAGACTGTTCAGGTTTAAAAACAACAACTTTACCACACATTTGTAGGACTTGACTCTAAAGTCTCAGAACTAATTCAAAGTCCCTCCAGATGTTGTTTGCTACAATCCCCATCAGCCCTAGCCAGCACAACAAATGGTCAAGGATGACAGAAGCTGTAGTCCACAAATACCTCAACACCCCTACTTTACACAACCTTCCCCATTGGATTTGGATCCATGGTCAGGGATTATGGAAGTTGTAGTTCAAAACATCTGGAGGGAACTAGGTTGGGGAGGGCTGGTGTAAATGCTGTTGTCCCCTTCCACATTAATATAAAAGCAGTCTGCACAGTCCAGCCTCCTTCACTCTTACCAACTATATCCCTCCACATGGAAAAGTAAATAATTTCTAAAATCAAAAGCTGCATAACTGTGCCCTATTTGCTTAGCACAATGTGCCTTTCAACTGCAGCAGCATACACTTACGACTACAGCTAAAGCAACCACGCAGTCAGTAAAAAAAATACACACACACACACACACGCAAGTATGAGAACTGCTAAGCTCATCATATATCTGACACCGGAAAATCATAACTTGCATTTATTAAAGAAGCATGCACTAAGTAAGAAGAGTGAACAATTCATTTTCATCAGTCTACTGTTCACTCCACAATTGTTCCAAAAGACAGTTATGGATAGTTCCCAAATTGCATCAAATAAATTATTAAGAAGCTTGTTCTGAGCACAGTAAGGAAAAGCTACACAGAAGGCACACAAAATTGTTGTCTTATAAAAGGGACAACAGCTGACCTCAGTTATACTTATATATAACCCAAACAAGAGAAAGCATTGTCTGAAGTATGCTTAATATGTAAACACTGACCAGGTTTGGCAGAAGAGCAGATATAAGCCCTGCCTTAAGCAAGTTTGCTAATCAGATCAGCAAAAATCAAAATCAGAGAATACAGCACAAAAATTCTGGTACCCTGGTTAAATAGGCAGTGAAGTGGAAAGAGTACAGTACATGCAAGGGTTTGATAATTTAACCTTAGCTGCACAGTAAAGTATAATTAAGAGGTATCTACTGCTGTTCAATACTACCAATCTGTTAGAATAGCTTTATAACCAGGTTATAGTTGGAAGTATAAAAAGACACTTATCTTCATATGTTGCGGTCAAGTGAATTAGCACAGAAATTCTGGAAAATTATTGTTATAAAAAGTGAAAAAATAGCAGATATTAAACTTCATTTAGCTCCTTTGGTGCTTTTATTGACCTTTAACAAAAACTGTGCCTTTGGCAAACCAAGAGTTAATATGAAATATCATGGCTAGAGCAAAGATATGGTGCACCAGATACTGGAAGTTGTCAACAATAACTAAATTATGTGAAGTAGAAAATACACTGCATGAACTAATTATATATGTGTACAAGAAAGGAAGCAGATTTACAATAATTTTATTCCAAACTGATAAATATAGATTTATTACTGGAAAAATCAACCACATTCTTCAAGCAATATTATTTATGCCTTCGATTTTGAGAAAATGAACACACCTCTCTATCTCTCTCTCTCTCTCACACACACACACACACACACACACACAAACACACACACAAACAAGACATAACACACACATTCATCAAAAAGCTTAAGCTAATGAAACTTCTTCGTGATTCTTTCCAAAACTAATCCTGCACATCTCTAACTTCCACTGAATGTGTGGAAATACCAGACTGAGGAATACTGAACAGATCCAATTTGCCTAAGTAGATCATACTTATCAGTTATAATCACTGTTGCACCAAGTTCCAGGAATCTAACACCTAAATAAAACACCTCCAACCCACTCCTTCCCATTTTGCTAAAAAAGAAAAAGAAATCAGAACTGAGGCAGAAAGGAAGCTTATGTTCTGATCAAATTAATTTTAAAAGGCAGATAAACACTGATCTTAAATTGATTTAAAGGAACATTAAGAGCTCACTTTGCAAAGTTTGCATTGGCCTATTCAGATGAAATTGTCATATATTACTTATTTGGAAAGCCTTCAAGAAACCATTTCCTCTCTACACCATTTATCCTGGCACTCTGCTACTCTAATATTTTAGGTCTCTCCTCCCTCCCCACCATTTCACAGTCTAGCCAACACAGTTCCTGTCTTCACCAAGGAACTGAGCAGTGAGTTTAAGTGCAAACATGCAAATGTTATATTGGCTGGTATCTCAGGTACTGTATTACCAGTTTTCAACAGAAATGTCCTATATTGTGGATAAAGTGAATTCTATAGTTGAATGTAACAGACTGCAAGATTATGGCAATGCCTAAAATATATGGTGTCAGTAAATATTTCTTATCCACAAGAAATGTAATTTAAATTTGGAAGCACAAATGCATCCAGTCCCATTCCATAAAGGAGAAAGTTCTAGACTTGTTAATGATTATCATACAAGGAGAGACTTTTGAAAGCAAAGCTGCTGAAAGAACAATGAGAAAACGAATCATTTATGCAAGCAGTTTTAAAAAATCATTATAAAGGAGACACTCATTTCTTCCTCTCCCAGAAGTGATAGGGAATTATTTCATTTGCCTTAAGTGCTTAAGTGTCAAACGAGGTAATCTACACAGGCCACGTTAACCACCAGGTGTTGCACTGTAAATTCTGGAGGCAGAGAATTAGATTGCCACCTGCAGGTGTACTTAGCCTCCCCCCCCCCACCACTTCTTTTGCCCAATAACACAATATAAGAAGTAAAAAATGCAAGGTTACAAGAAGTATTGATCATTTATACACTGCATGCAGCAGTCTAACAATAGCTACTTATGCTGAACAAAAAGTAAAACATAATTTCCAATAAATACCAGTGACACA